GTCTCCGTTTGTCGATCTCTGATCCGTGCCTCGGTCGTAACCGTCGCATTGGCCATGCTAACCTATATCGGTCCGTTATCTGTTAGCTAACGCGATATCTTATGTCTGACAGATACTCATCTGGGTCATGTGGGGAGCCGCCTTTGGGATGACCGTCTTCCGAGGCACCTTCCAATGGATCCTCCAGCGGCGCCTCTTTGCCGACGACTACTTCATCATCGCAGGACTCGTGACTCTAACGGCCTTGACCGCAGTCATCACTTGCATGCTGCCGCAGTTCTACCTCGCCGGCGAGTATACCAAGGCGGCTGCCAAAGATCCTATGACACCCGTGCCTTTAGGGCCCGATGAGTTCATCGCCAGGACGATTGCATCTCTCAAGTTGATGTTCTGTCAGATGCTGCTGTTCTGGACGACACTGTGGGCCGGTATGTCTCTTCCTCTCTAGTTTTCACAAATGGATACGGTGGTGAACAACACTGACTGTCTTCATGTGATCAACAGCAAAGTTCTCCATTCTCTTCTTCGTACGAAGGCTGGTCACCGGACTGCCCAAATACATTCGCGCCTGGTGGATGTGCTTCGGTGCGGTCCTGGTGCTGTATCTAGCATGCATGTTTTCAAATTTCTTGACATGCACACCGTTGACGAAATATTGGAGTGCGAGTACGTTTTCGCGAACCCTAGACCGTTGGTTAAATAATTAACGCTGCAGGATCAGCCGGGTGCAGTGCGCCAGAAGACCTAGTAAGAGCTGATGCATCCATCAAGTTCGCGACTAGCGCAGATGTTGCGGCAGATATTCTCAGTACGTGACGGATCCAAAGCTGTAGTAAGCCTCCCATGTTACTTACACAATGCAAACAGTCATGATCCTGCCTCTCAACCTCCTGCGCAAGCTGAGCACCTCCCCATCCCACAAGTTCGGCCTAGCCATCCTCTTCTCCCTCGGCGGCATCATCGTAGCCTTCGCCATCGCGCGGCTCGCACAGGTGACGAAAGCCACAGGCGACGCAGCAAAGGACCCGACGACGGTGGCCAACGGGCCGGTGCTCCTGAGCATGTGGAGCCACATCGAGTCGTCCGTCAGCATCATCGTCGCCACGCTCCCCGCCTTCCGCTTCCTCCTCAGCAAGAACAGAAACGCGACGAGGAAGACGACGGCAAAGTACGTGGGTCCCACGATTGGGGGCTCGGGCGGCATGTCGCTGCGGTCGAGGAAGTGGCAGAAGGGTGCGGTACGGCTGGAAGGCGAGAGCGACGGCCGTGTCTCTTCGGCGCAGGACAGCGAGACGGAGCTGCAGCCGGTGAGGGGGATACAGAAGGATTTCGAGTACAAGGTTGAGCAGTTGCCTACTGACTCGTCTGCGGGGGAGACGAGGCGGAAGACTCGGGAGTTGTTTGCATGAAGAGGAATTGAGGTGTGCTAGAATGGAAACTCAAGGATCCGCTCGTGCAATCTGAAGGAAGAACGAATGCGTGCGAGGGGTAAGAAGACCTGACTTAAGCATACCCGAAGAAGTATATTCGCACTTTCCTTCGTCGCTTCATCGCTACATCGCTCCATCGCCCCCGTTGTACTATTGCCGTTGTTCTTGTCATACCTTGCTCCTACGTCTGCCGTGCGTATTTATCACCTTGCTACAGCCGACCCTTGCCTTGCACAACGTATCTAGGTGAGAACGACTCGACTATCCATTCTAGCCTCCATCCAGAATGGAACATGAATCATCGCCGAGCGGAATCACGATGATGGCGCACCGGCAGACTTAATCATCGATTCACACAGTCGCAAGAATTCATGTTGACACATGTCGTGCGTTGACAACGGAAATTTGACATTATCTTCGTAAAACACAAGAGTTGGGTGGCCCTAATTAAGCACCCTCGTAGATAGACCAAAAGTCCTCCTTCTCCCCCTAAATGCAACCAAAACGCCATGGCCCGTCTGCCTATTATCAGATTCTATAAGACTTTCCTACACAGTCGAGCATGGTATCTAGTGAAGGACAAAAGGGAAAGCTCATCGTAGTCGAACAATACCCAAAGGTTGAGAACATGGAATCTCCCACTTCTTTCTCGTGACGGAACGAGAATAAGTTAGGCGGCGCCAGCCAGGTTCTTGGTGTTGAGCTTGCTCCACCTCGATCCGAGAGAGATGAGGAACGAGATGCCGGCACCGGCGACGGCCAGGGCAAAGGCGATCTTGAGACCGTCCATGTAGGCCTGGATGACGCCCGGGACGGCATCGGCGGGGAAGGCGGTACGGATCTGGGTTGCGCCGGTGAGGGCAACGAGGTTGGGGTCTACGTTGGGCACGTTCTCGGCAACCTTCTTCAGGACAGTGATGAGGAAGCCTGACTGGGCTGCGGCGACGTAGAAGGCTCCACCGACGGTTTGGAAGACTGTGAGATTTAGTGTTAGTAAAATTCCATCGAAGACAGTTTCTTAGGGATGGACTTACAGAGCAGAACAGCGGTGGCGGATGCAAGATCACTCTCGCTGACTGTGCCCTGGACGGCAATGATGGGAACCTGGAAAGCAGCACCCCATGCGAGACCGGCGAGCACCTGGTATCCAATCCACTTGTCGCTTCCAGTGCCGATGTCGAGGGTGTAAAGGAGGCCAGCGCCGACGGTAGCAAGAGCAGCGCCGACAACAAGGATCGGGGTGTAAAGTCCTGTGGCGGAGATGGAGATGCCCGAGGCAACGGTGGCAATGGTGACGGCGATGATAAGCGGCAAGTTGCGGACGCCGGATTGCGTGGGAGATGCATTGTCGACGGACTGGAAGTAAATGGGCAGGTAGTAGACCAGAACGAAGTAGGCGCCGGCGAAGAAGAAGGCGTATGCGGAGGAGATGTAGACAGTGCGGTCGCTGATGAGGCGAGGCGCGATCATGGCACGCTCGCCTTGGTACCACTCAAGGGCGATGAAAGCGACAATCATCAGGCCAAAGCCGACAAACAGACCGATGACGGTGGACGAGTTCCAGGGATGCTGGTGGCCTCCCCACTGCAGAGCGAGCAGGAAGGAGATGGTCGCCGCCATGATGAGGGCGGTGCCAATGAGATCCATCTGGAGGAACTTCTCCAGCATGCTCGCTTTGGCAGGGACGGCCTGCGGCGGGGTGTGGAAGTAGAAGAGGATAATGGCGGCAGAGAGACCTCCGATGGGGAGGTTGATATAGAAGCACCAGCGCCAGCTAACGTGGTCGGTGAAGGCTCCGCCGATCAGGGGCCCGATAACGGAGGCAATGCCGTACGAGGCTCCGATGATACCGGTGAAGGTGGGTCGCTTGTCGGGCGGGGCGGAAAAGCCGATGATGGTGTAGGCACCGGAGCCGATACCTGCGGCGCCCACACCGGCGATGGCGCGGCCGACGATGAGGGCGACGGAGTTGGGAGCGACACCGCAGATAAGACTGCCAACTTCGAAAATGAAGATGGAGAGTAGGAACGACGTCTTGAGTGGGAAGTACTTGTATGCCTTACCCCCTGTTCACGATGCTGTTAGTGATGTTCTGGCCGAAGGAAGTGCCCACTGTTTAGGGGAGATCGAATGACTTACATGTTGACTGGAAAGCGGCAACACACATGAAGAAAGCTGCTCCATACCAGGCGACCTGATCCAGACCACGGAATTCATCTGTGATTTTGGGAATGGCGGTTGCGACAATGGTCATATCGAGAGCAACCAGGAAAATGCTGAGAACGAGAGCGACGACGATGAAGGTGAGCCGGATGCCGGTGGGGTATTCGGGCTCCTTGGGTTCCGCTGGTTGTGATGAGCCGGCCTCCTCGTCCGTTGCAGTGCCGGCCTCCTCCTTCTTCTCTACTACCTCTTCGTCAAGCATTGATGGCGTAGGGGTGTTCTCCCGATCTGTCTCTCCTCCTGTCTTCTCCCCGGCCTTCTCTCGTGGTGTTACTAGGGTGCTGGTAGTTGAAGTCATAGCTGCGGTGTTGTCAAGCATGTAGCTCGAGTACTCTGGCGGTAAGACTGAGAGTTTGATATGCCTGCAATGGCTTGTGGCTTCTCAAATCCAAGCAAGGATTAGATCCCAGGAAAATTAGGTTGAGGCTGAATGTCTCTAAAGTGCGTGCCACAGAATAGACGAGGGTGCAAAGACCAGGGGAGGCCCGGCTCTCTTATGTATCTGATCAGACAACATGATAAGAACCTGGAAGCGATGCGGGTCGGAGTTTGCAAAGCCTTGACGCCGGGAGCCCGCCGCTCGGAGGAAGAGAGACAACCCGCAAGTGTAGCCTTGGTCCACTCCGAAGTGCGGTAGACGCCTGGGCGCGGTGGGAAGCTGACAAGGTGGGGACTCCTAAACGGAGACATTTGATGCGATGGCTCATTGTGTATGGTGCAAGGCTAACGTGTGTGCTATGTCGCGGTAACATAACGGGCAACTGATCGTTCCAACATGCTGGTGGTGCGTTCAGGTCCGAGAAGGATGCGTTAGGCTGGGCCGTTACGGTGGTACGTATGGACGACTGATGTAAGGGCGTCATTGGTAAGCCCTACTACAAACACTTTAGCACCGAGCCCAAAAGGGGAAACGACCCAAGATGTGAGCAGCTTTGCACGACTTTGGCGTTGCTGCTTGGTAACGACAGAAGTGAACGTTGTCCAATCTCCGCATGCGTGCCGCGGGTGTGGCTGCGATTCGTGATGCATCCCTCTTCTTGCACTGGACAATCGAGTATCTCATCTTAGGCTTGACCCCATTTCGTAGATCTGGAATGTTCCGAAAGTCCGCAACATCCCTTGGGGGTCTCTGAGGCTCTCTGCTTAGGCAGATTGGAGGCCAAGACAGGTTCTCCGGAGTTGCATTGCTTACTGTACATCGGCCGCCCCCCCTGTCTCTGCTCATGGGGCTGCATTTACGCAGCGTGCAGTACCGGTTCCGCCGACTCGGTGGAAGTAATGGACATAACGACATATCTGCGGAGTTTGGGTGGGCGTTAGTCGAGCGGAGGAGTCAGAGCCTTCAGTCTAGGTGTCTAGGTACGCAATGTATTGTTCTTTGGGGTCGCTCCGAGCCCCTAGAGACGCACTTGCGAACACCTGGTACAAGCCATTTGGGAATAGCTCGAGTTTCACAGGCATCTTGTTGGATGCTGCAGACGGATAAGGCTGCGCTTGTTTCCCACTGAACGCCGCCACATCATCAAAACTTGCGCCCGTGCCTACTACTCGGACTAATGTTTCCCATGTTGATTTGTAAAGCAACCGTGTACCCGATGGTTCGCCTGCCGGTGACTCGTCCGGTGATTCAGTACTCGAGAATATCGAGACGACAAACAATAGGGACGACAGAGAAAGAAGAGAGAACCGAAAAAAGAAACGACGGCTCGATAAGCTTGATCAGACAAGCATTGCCTAGTGGTGCGGAGCGGAGAGGAACTAGGGCGAACAACCAGGATACCCAGTTCCCATTGAATAGGCTCTTGACCGGTATGCCCGATGGCAAAATGATTCATCCGCCGTGACTGCTAGGCCGAGATGATGCTCAGTGCTAATTCGAGAATGCCGCTTGCGACGCGAGTCGCCCAGCGCCCACAGCACTATAGCACAAAAGTCCATCCATCACGGGTGGATTCTCTGTGCGCTATGTTCGGAGCAACTTTGCCGACTTCGGGTCATGTATTCATCATAACGTCCTCCGTGAACCCGGATGATGGGGTTTTTCATGTATCGAAACTGAATGAGATGCATTGGAAAGGGGTCTCGGGATGCGGAGGAACAGAGCAGACTTGAAGCAGACGAAGTGTGTATGCAACACCAGACCGGTGTGCCGATCTTGAAGCCAACTGGGCCGACACGTCTCCTGAGGATGATGCCAAGTTGACGCTTGAGGGTGGCTTGGGTGCTTGGGTGGATGTAAGGCGGAAGAGGGTCGTCGGCGACAATTGCGTGCCAATGTTGCCGTTGCACGTGTCGGAGAGATTGCCGTCTGTCAGATTTACGAGGGCTGCAGGAAGGGCCAATTACCAAATACAAATGAGGTAAGCAGCGATGGCGTAAGTGGTGATACGTACCAGCACCAAGAGACCGGGATGGACACGTAGAACCAACCCTCTGAATCTGGAATGGAAGGAGCACCCAAGCAGCAGGTACCGTAAATCTGCTTGGGCACAGACGGAACGATCCAATAAGATCCCCCCACGCCGGCACACCACCAGGAAAGCAACCCTGGTACACCGAACACACCTGGACACACCGAGCTTTCACCAGGAGAGATGATAAGACGGCGGAAAACCAGGGACTTTGTGCCATTCAAGTCAAATATTCCCGCTGACTTGGTTGTGGACGTTCCCGTCTGACCAGAAAGGATGCCCCGCCAGGATCCAACCCGCCCTGTTGGGAATCTTCCGCAACTCTAGATAGCTTACACATGGTAACTCAAGCTTCCCGTACCTTACTGTGTCTTGCCTTCAGCCCAAGGTACATTACACAACTCCACGTTGCATGCTCCGACAGGATTTAGGCATCATGGTAAAATACAAGAGACCCTTCATTCCAAGCTGACGTGGACCGAGCGGGCGACGACTCACCTCCCTCCGCTCGTATCCATAATATCCGATGCGGTCCGGACCCTTCGGTCGACTCGGCCGCACCGTCCGCTTCCCACCACCCTCTAGTGGACAAATCTCATACCGCACTGAAGGGACGGTGACTAACTTGTGGCATTCGCAGAGGCAGAGGGATACAACGTGAACCGACTTATACGGATACATTGTACATGGGCCTCACGGGCCTCTCGATCTTCTCCGCCTTACAAGAGTCATGTCGTGATAACCCCAGCTCGCGGTGGATAGGTAATGGCAACTTTAAACAGACGCCCCAATCGCAATCGAAGTAAAAAAAACATGCACGGGCTCTCTCGCTCTCTCGCCTGTACACGCATTTTCCCTCACGGTAAAGGTGAATTATAGTGCCTATTTCCCATTTTCCCACGTCACGGGCTCTATTTCGGAATTGCCAAGATATCTCACCTCACACAACATCCCTGGTCCTTATCAGGTATTTATCTCGCCAGTCATATCAACATCCGCCGCCGTGGGATCCGAGCTCTTGGGTGTAGATTATCATCAGTTCGTCCTCGAATCAAAGTGCGACACCTCACGCAAACGGGCGGTTCGTAATGTGTCAGAGGTCTGACGTGAGATACCTTGTCCCCGTTGTTGTACTCGGCATCCCGAATCCCGGTAGTCAGAAATGCCATCTCTGAAATTTGTCAAATTGTCAGATTCCTAAAAGCAGAGAAAATATGGCATAGCATGGCAATCAGACGAAGCACTGTCATGATCCTGTGAACAGCATGTTCCGACAGGCAACAGTGGCTCACCTCTGCAGCGTTAAGTAAGCCGGTTAGAGGAGTGCAGGTGGGCCAGGACCCTTCCTTCCGCAGAAGTGTACTGTGCGTTTCCAAATTTAGAGACACTGTTTTCGACTTTTCCTCCGCCATCTCAAATCGCCGCGCTTTCACTCTAATCTTTCGCGCGACAAGATCGCAGGTCGGACAATCTAGGCCATGGCAGAATCGACCCCTCACCCAAAGTCCATCCTTCGAGGCCATAAAGCCCAAGTGCACGCTTTATCCTTCGTCCGCGGTAACGATCGTTTAGCCAGCGGAGATGCGGAAGGCTTCGTCGTCCTCTGGGACCTTACCATTATGCGCCCGACGGCCGTATGGAGGCCACATGAGAACGCAATTTTGGGGATAAAGGGTTGGGGAGACGACCGGATAATAACGTGAGCCTCCCTCCATTGCTGCATCGCTGATCCTCTCTCACACTCTACTCAGCCACGGCCGGGATCATAAGCTTGCCGTCTGGCAACTGGGCCTCAAGGATGAATCTCACCTGAGCAAGAAGCTACCTCTCGATGAGACAGCAGAGCCACGGCCACAGCCTTGGCTTTTGCATCTCATCGACGTCAACACCATGAATTTCTGTTCATTCGCATCATATGCTCCGCTGCCTGGCGAAGACGCGTCCGAATCTTCGAACTTATTACTAGCAGTGCCAAACACTCTGGCGTCGGAATCGGTCAGTTCACCATCCCCGCCAATTATCTCCGCCTTTAAGCCCGGCCATCTGCATGAGACCGGGGACCTAACCCGTGCATCCGTGATAGGTCGACATCTACGAATTACCGTCCAAGAAGCGACTTCACACAATAAAGTCAACAGAGAAGAATGGCATGGTCATGGCCCTAGCCCTGCTGTACGTTGACGTACCCGGGTCTACACCGTCATCCACCAATGGTCGTTTGACCCTCGTCGCCGCATACGAGAATGGGTTAGCAACGGTCTTGCAGCTCAGCAGTGGGACTTGGAATACTACCTACTTGTCTCAAGTCCATAACCAGCCCATCCTCTCCCTCGACGTCGTCGCGGAGCAAGGCTACTTTCTTACCTCCGGTGCAGATGCGACAATCGCCAAACACCCTATTCCGGGCCCTAATCCGGGACCTAACGCCGATACTGGTGGGGGCATCATCCAGCAGCCGTTGAAGATTCTGAACACCAAGCATTCGGGCCAGCAGAGTTTACGCCTTCGGGACGACGGACGCATCTTTGCTACCGCTGGCTGGGATTCCATGATTCGTGTGTATTCCTCCAAGACGCTCAAGGAGGTGGCAGCTCTCAAATGGCACCAAGTGGGATGTTACGCGGTTGCCTTGGCTAGTGTCGGCGCGACATCCCGGACTGATGAAACCCGAAGCGCGTCCAGCGATCCCAATCAGCTTCCCCACGATCTTATCTCTCGTCCAGGACAACAGCAGCTCAGTGTCAAGGACAGGCGCATCCAGCAAGCTCAGAATGCTCACTGGCTGGCAGCTGGCAGCAAAGACGGCAAAATATCCATGTGGGACATTTTCTGAGGGTCCATACGATCCCCTGTCTGATCCAGGTCGTAAATGATCCTGCAGTAAGACCTACTGTGATGGACAACGCTTAGCGCGGAGCCAAAAACATGATATTCCTTTCAAAGGTCATTGGAGGCTGGTAGAAGCTTACGCCAGCTCAGCCGGCTGTTAGGACCCGACCAATTCGGCCCGTGTCCGAGAGGTAGCAATTGACGTCCCTCGAACAATGACCGTCTGGTTAATGCACCAACTTCTTGCGTTCCCCGCGTCTAGGAAGCTCGCCCATATCGCCGTTGCTTTACCCTATACTAAGCACTAAGATACCCAATAAGCCATTGGATTGATGTACGGAAGAGCGTTTACGGCTAGGGTACGGAACTTTGTCCTTTTGTAAAGTCTTATGCTTGAGCATAACGACCAAATACTTTCTTTTGCCGACACACGCTGACGTGAGAGTAGGGTATCCACCCGTCGTTGCATCCATCGTGCTGTAGAAACTCTCCTCGTTGAACAAGGTCAAAGCAAGTCAATAGTTGGGACATCTTCTAGGGCACCGTATAGGACCAATGCTGGGTCACAGAGACAAACCGATAGTCCAGCTCCACGTTATCGTTGCCGGAGAGAAACCAATTGCGAGCCCCGGCAAGCTCTGGTGGTCCCTGAAGGTCCACAAGTTGGCAGCATGCAATGTGACGTTTGATGAATCCAACGTGATATAAAAGAGTTACCATTGCCGCTCTTTTCGTCAACATTTGGACGCATCGATATCTCTTCCATTACTTGGATACCTCATCCCAGAGACTCTATTCATCTACTATCACCCATCTTCCGAGCGGACAGACTAGCCAAGATGTCAGTCATCGGCCAGGAATACAAGAATGTCCCTACGCTGGGAATGAATGCCTACGCGGCGCCCTCCCTGTTTCAACCGCACAAGGCTCGTCAAGCCATTCGCGATGCCCACGAGAAGAAGATCCCCCCATTGATGTGCTATTATGCTGGCCTCAGTTCTCTCCCCATCACACGCTTCCTTGCCCCTATGGGATACGACGCAGTTTGGATTGACTGGGAGCATACGTCCTGTAACGTCGAGACCATGACATCGGTAAGTCATCGGCCGGAACGACAACTCGCTGTGCCGAACTTCACTGATCAACGGGGGATAGATGGTCCACGAAGCCATCTTCATGAGCCAGGGACGAACCATCCCATGGGTTCGGTGGGTGTTCCCATAAACACCTCGCGACAGTGAAGCTAGTGCTGACATGCATCCCGCAGTGTTCCCGGCCACGACCACGCCGCCATCGGCTATGCCCTCGACTGCGGTGCCAGCGTCGTCATCCCCCAGGTCGAGACGGTAGAGGAGGCCAAGCACGTCCTGTCCGCAGCCAAGTACGGCACCAAGCAGCGCGGCACACGCTCTGCTCCCCCCTTCCGCCTCATCCCCTTCCTCACCGACACCCCCTACGATCCCAACCGCGACATCCACAAGTGCGTCAACGACCAGGCCGCCATCATGATCCAGATCGAGTCCGCCGAGGGCGTGCGCAACCTCGACGCGATCCTCACAGAGTGCCCCGACATCGACGTCGTCTGGTTCGGCACGCTCGACTGCCGCGTCAGCATGAACCTCGAAGCCAAGATGGGCGGCATGGGCGCCGATGAGCCCGAGTGGCTCGAGATCTCGAAGCTCTTCTTCGATACGATTGACAAGCATGACAAGCCGTATGCTGGCTTCGCGTTCTGCGCGCCGCCGTACGGAAGCCCTGAGAAGCTTCGGGAGGCGGCGAAGAGGATGAGTCTTATTTCCATGTCGGCTGATGTGCTTCACCTCGGTGCGTTGGCTCAGGATTTGATGGTTGCTCGGGAGACTATTGGTCCCGTTGGTCAGGAGAACGGCAACGGGACGAATGGAAAGGAGGCGGAGAAGACTGAGGAGGTGAACGGTAAGGCGTAGAGATGACCATTTTTAACGAGTTCATGATCTGAAACCTTCTGTAGGTATACCCTTGAGAGAGAAAAAATAGATTCTTTGCGATTTGAAGATTTTGTGGAAGCTGGAGACCTGCGGTGATGTGTTCTTAGACTGAGCGAGAATCTTGGATCACGGATGATGCCACTCATACTACACCAGAATTCCAAGCCATGTTGATGATGCCAAAAGTTCCGAGCTGCAATTTCGAATGTTTGAGTAACTTGGTTATAAATGACGGATCGCCCCTCGCGATTATTCTCCTTTCGTTACCACAGACAATAGGCGGAGGGGGTGTGCGCGAGAAATCTACAGGAGGCTGACTGACGCGGCGGTTATAGCAGCTGTAGATCCCGGAAGTCGATGAGATGGGTTCGCAGAACTACGATAGGCCTAAAAGTAGTCTCGTTGCTCCCCAGGTTATCCTCGGCTATTTATTTGTACTAGTAGTCTGGCCCGCTAAGAGTCAGAAGTGATGGATAATCTTCAAGACACAGTTCCGAGTATCTAGAAAAGGGTTCCGATTCAGGGGCTTGACATCCACGAGCCTGACCCCGTGTATGAAAACATTTACGAAGGCTTGGCCGAATCAGACGACGAATCCACACAGTTCGTGCTGTCCCCTTCCTTCTGTCTCTCTCTACTGTCCTATTTATAGTGAGGCAAGTGAAAACTTTTATAACAGCCTTGATACATGCATAGGTCTAAGCGAAGTGTCCTGACTCCTATATTATCTATTGATTGTCCGATACTGCTGTTAACATAGATCCTACTTATGCTGCAATCATGGCGTCTCGGCTAGCTTGAGCCAGAATGGCCGCAATTCGTTTCGTGAAAACCGATATGCCAAGGGTGGGCCTTTTATTAGTCTCTCTTCACGCAAATGTAGCAAATTACCACCTTGAGGAAGCCTCTTGAACATCGACATGGCCGACAATGCCGACCTGGGAGGAGGTGCCAAGCTATTGAGCCAACGATGAGTCACCGAAGTGATTTATTGACACAGTCTTTGACTAAAGTATTCGAATTCCGTGCCCAGCTGCCGTTTTCCCCGGGTGGGACTCCCTCTGATTTTAGGTATTTAGATGATAGAATGCACGACTGGATGCTGGTGTTAGTTGTGATTACTAATGTGACTCGAAGCTGGGCGAAACCCCGCCACCAGCGGCGTCATTATCATGTGACTCTATTGATAAGCCCCGCGCTCGCCTTATCGTTCGGGGTTCATGATTTTTTTTTTCCCCCTCGATGAACAACCCCGCCATACACCGAGCCCAAATTGCCCAAGAGAGCCCCTTGTCGCCTCAGTTTCCCAAACCTTTTCCCTCCTCGACATCGACAAGGACTTAGGTAGTGAGGGCAAAAAGAGACGCCAAAATGAATATGAACAGCACCCACGCCACGATTCTCTGCTGCAACTGCGGCGCTCCCATCGACGGAACGACCGCCGCCAACGCGCTCTGCTTCGACTGCATCAAGTTGACTGTCGACATCTCCCAGGGCGTCCAGCGCGAAGCCACCCTCAACTACTGCAGAGATTGCGAGCGCTGGCTGCTGCCGCCCAGCAGTTGGATCGTCGCCGCCCCCGAGTCCCGCGAACTCCTCGCCCTCTGCCTCAAGAAGCTAAAGGGCCTGAACAAGATACGCATCATCGACGCCTCCTTTGTGTGGACGGAACCCCATTCGAGACGAGTCAAGGTCAAGATTACGATCCAGGACGAGGTCCAGAGCGGCGTACTTCTCCAGCAGGCCTTTGAGGCGGTTTACATCGTCGCATACCAGCAATGTCCCGACTGCGCAAAGTCCTACACGGCCAACGTGTGGCGCGCCTCCGTCCAGGTCCGGCAAAAGGTCCTGCATAAGAGGACGTTCCTCTACCTCGAGCAGTTGATTATGAAGCACGGTGCACACAAAGATACCCTCAATATTAAGGAAGCAAAGGACGGAATCGATTTCTTCTTTTCGGCGAGGAATCAGGCTGAAAAGTTCTGTGATTTCCTCAACTCCGTTGTGCCTTGCACGGTCAAGAAGTCGCAGGAGCTCATTTCGCAGGATATCCACACATCGACAAAATCTTTCAAGTTCACCTTTTCAGTCGAACTGATTCCTATTTGCCGTGACGATCTTGTGGCTCTGCCCATCAAGCTGGCCCGAGCATCCGGCAACATTTCCCCCCTCGTCATTTGCCACAAGATCGGAACCGCAGTATACCTTTTCGACCCCAACACCCTTCAGACCGCAGATGTCAGCGCTCCTATTTACTGGCGTGCACCGTTCCGTTCCCTCGCCGACGTCAAGTCACTCGTTGAGTTTATCGTCATGGACATCGAGCCGACGGGCATCACAAAGGGCAAGTGGCATCTCGCAGAGGTGCAAGTAGCCCGTGCCTCCGACCTGGGCTCAAACGACAAGACCTACTTTGCGAGAACACACTTGGGCGGCCTGCTGCACGCCGGCGACTCGGTCTTGGGCTACATGCTCACGGGCACCAACTTCAACAACGAGGAGTTTGACGCCATTGAAGAGTCGCACGCCTACGGCTCGACGATACCCGACGTCATCCTCGTCAAGAAGCACTACCCCAACAGAAGAAAGCACAAGAACCGTAACTGGAAGCTCAAGCGCATGGCCAAGGACGAGGGTGAGCTGCTGCCCAAGCAGGCTGACCAGGACCGCATGAACGAGGACTACGAGCAATTCTTGCGCGATGTCGAGGAGGACGACGAGCTGCGCGCGACGATGGCGCTGTACAAGTCACAACAGCCGCAGAACATCGATCCGGACGCCATGAGCATCGCCGAGACCGAGGGCGACGAGGGTGCTCCGAGGGTGGACATGGATGAACTGCTTGACGACATGGACGAACTCCAGATTCAGGATTAAGCGTCAGGTGTGGATGTCCGTCTTCCGAAAGGTGAAGGGGAGGGGCGTGTCGTCCATGGACGGACGGGACAAAGTTGGGACGTGTCTCTGTCGCGGTCCCCGACGTTTGGTGGCCCCGGGACGGTGTTAAGGTTAAGTGGCCGTCTGCGGGGAGAAAATTTGTTTCCTTACGAGATGGTACGTGGACACGTTTGGTTTCTTGGGCAATAGAGGAAGAGAGTGGAGGCATCTCTCTCTCAGAAAACGAATGGGATGGTTTCAAGGATGGGGTGGCAAGGCGTGTATGCATCATCAGATACCTTTGACTGAGACTGCGACGCAAGTGAAAAAGGGCGTTTGCGTTTGTCGTTAGACAAAAAAAGACTACACTACCAGATCACCACGTGGCTCATGCGTCCGCCCTTGTCTTGTTGCGTTTCTCTGCAGTGTGTTCCTCTCTGCCGTTCAACCGCCGCATCTCACGATCCCATCGCCGTTAAGCAAGGATCCAGTCTCAGAGCTGTCGGCGATGTGCCATTTCAACTTGTCCGAGCTTCTCTTCATGCACTCTTCTTGCCCTCTCTACGCTCTGTGCTCAGCACTCCCCCAGTGATAGGCAACGTCGTACGTGCGTCCAGCAGCAACTCGTCGCACGGCCTTCGACAGGGGCTCCCCCGACTTATACCATTCACACCATTCACACCCTACCCTCTGGTGTTTATTCGTACAACAGCACATCGACCTTCCCATCAACAGTTGTTCGTCCGTGCTCTTCTCCCTCAGTTACCCAAAGAGGGTGCCGACTGTCTGGGACTGCCGACTTCACTGTTTCTAATCGCCGACTCCAGCGGGCTTAAGCACGCAAGTCACACCATAAACTCGGCACCTCCAGACCCCTACCTTAGTCATGAGCCTTACGAGCCCATGGCCTGTCCGTCCGTCTGTCTGTCTGTTCATTCGAGAGACGGAGAGCCTCCCCTACGCCCATCCAGCACTGGACACTCTTGGGCCCGCGAAACCGGCCGCAGCCGACTCTAGGAGCCACGCCCTCTGAGGCTCTGCCTGGGTACCAGAGACGGCGTCGTTGTTTCAACCTTCTACGAAACCGACGTGGTCCGTCCTTCCTCATCCTACCCTAAGGCTTCCCCAGAGTCTCTCCAAGGGGCCGTTCAGACTCAGCCTTACCCTCCCCGACCCCGGGCCCGAGTCCCAGACAGCCTCCAGGCGCCGGCGGTTAAGCGGGAGTAAGAGACCTGTCGGCACCTCCCTTTCCCCAGACTTTGGACCACTCAGACAATAGACGTGTCCGTCACACCCATGGAGGTTCTACTCACACATACACACCCCATCCATCATGAGGTAAGCCTCCACCTCCACCGTTTCCGACCACCAACTTTCGCTGGCGACATTGATGAGACGATGGAGGGAGGGAGGGAGGCAGCGGGATGCCGACGGGGACCTGAATGTCGGCGCCGCACCGCACGGATTTACAGTTTCCCTGGGGTTTGTCATGATGGTGGGGAGGGTGTACGTCGTGGTCAACGTTTTGTTTCTACCTTGCTCACTCACAGGTCAAGGCGGACTCCGACGGACGGGAGGCTCATTCTCTCACCCACACGGCGACGGGCGACGGCGGCTTGGTTTACTCCATTTGGCCGGGGTGACCTCGGCGAGCGGGCAGAAGTGGGAGTGGAGACCGCCAGTGTGCGCTCGTAACAACGGGTGTTGCCTTTTTTTTTTCTTTTTTTTTTTTTTTTTGCGTTTGAGGCTTTTGAAGATCGGGGTTGCTGCCATCTGATCGAGATGCTGTAGACGGGGACTTTGTTTGCTTGGTTTCTTGGACGCCGGTGAAGGTTGGCGCGGCGTGGTGCTTTTTGGCGATGACTACGGTTTCGTGTGAGTAGGAATAGTGACATATCATGGGAGGAATTCTCATTCATGGCTTGTGTCTATGAGCTTGTGCCGGTATTGTCGAGTTAGGAGGTTCGCCGAGGTTGCGTTGTGGTGAGCTCAGTGTAAGTTGGTGTGAGTTGAGGCCGAGGCTGGAGAGCTGTTGATGAGGTGGTCAAGATCGCAGCCACGGCCAACAAGGATCTCTACAAAATGACGACGTATTGCAAACTACCAATGGAAGGTCGTTCCGAGCCTAGATTGCTGCAATTACGCACTCCCTCACATGCTCTTGCGTACTTTCTAACGGTAAAGTATTCATATTAGCGCTGGCTATTTTAACGACTTCATTTCGAGCAGCTTCTTCGTCCGAGGTTCCAAGGGACCATTTCATCATATCTTTCATGCCAAGTGAATAGATCGCCAAGTCAAGAGCTCTCCAAGTGTGTGGCTCGTCGCGGAGCCGAGAGTGGTGTAGAGGAAGCATTCGCATTCGCTCCGGTTATGCAGTAATATACTTCGAAGTCCAAAGGGTCTTCTTCATGCTGGTGAGTACAGACGACACGCATCATCCTGCCTGAATACTACTGCCGGCTTTTCAACTGTGGATAGCTTCGTCCCGTAGAGGTAGACACACAAAGAAACGTCATTTCGTCTTTTCTTTTCATGCCAAGATGCCAGACATATTGCCCACCTCAGCCGTCAAAGATGGTGACCCAGTAGCTCTCGCATTCGTAGTCCGGCAAGTCGGCCATAGATGCCCACCAGTGACACACACCGCAACATCCCGAGGCTGCCGGTCCATAGGGCTCTCGCGCTTTTCATCTTATGATTTTTGAAAGTCACATTTTATGCTTCCCATTACCAGTAACATAAGCGGCGATAACTGTTGAACGCCGAACATAAGCACACACCCCACCCCTCTCCTTCACTAGAAGATCTTCCCGAGCACCCTCGCAACATCACCTGCCGGCTTCGCAGCCGAGCCAGCCTCGCTTTTCCTGTCCGCCAGGGGTATTTGCTTAAACACCGTCCGCCTCTTGTCCAGCTTCTCGTCCGCCGCCGGTGCCGCCGCCGCACCACCATCGACAGAGGCCCCCGCTTCCGTCGTCGACGCAGCCGCCTTGCCGCGCTTCTCCCTCGTCGCAGCAATACCATCCAACACCCTGGCCCTCTCCACGTTGCGCACAAACTCCTTGTTCTCCTTGCTCGCTTTGCTAATCTCGGCCCGCATCCTGCTCGTCCGCTCCGCGTTCTCGGCCGTGATCTGCTCCGTCAGGTGGCGCCACTTGAACCCCTTGAGGTACTTTAGCGTCCAGATGTCGTCGTGGTAGTACGACCCCTTCTTGCCGCCAATGGTCCGCGCGTTCAGCAGCTCGCAGACGGCTTTGGCGTCCTTTTTCCGCATGAACTCGACCCAGCCCTCCGTGTAGGACTTTTTCTTGTTGCCGCCGGCCTTGACGCGGCGCGCGTGCGCGGTCGGGTCCTCGGGCGCGAGGAAGATGCGGTTGATCTTGCCGTAGGGCTCGAGGAGGGAACGCAGCTTCTGGGGCTTCATGAAGGGCGGGATGCGGGAGATGTAGACGACGCCGGATTTCTTGATGGCTTCTTCCGTCGCGACAAGGTTCTTTTTCGTGAGGGGTTTGGAGACATCGGGCAGGTCTAGCTTTGATGCCGAGCTTGAGGACTTTTCCTTGGTTGAGGTTGAGGCTTCCGCATCTTCGTCGGAATCTTCTTCGTCGTCGTCCCTCGCGGCGTCTTCGGCGTCCTTTGTGACGTTCTGCTCCTCGTCGCTGAAGTCGTCCTCGTCCTCGCTGTCGACTTTGCGCCTCTTGGCACTGCGGCCTCCTTTGCGCAGCTCCTCAGCCTCGGAGTCGTAACCCTGGTCGAGGTCGTCGTCGCTCTCGTCTGCGTCGAGAAACTTGTTTCGTTTTTCGGGAGCCATAGCGGCTTGCTGGGACTTAGAATGGATAAACGGTGGGTCCTCAAAGTATTGGAATGCTAGCAACGGCAAGATACAATTTCCCTACTGCAGCCTTGTCGGTAGCCTCGTGGTCGGCGGTAATGCAACTGTCGTTGTACGGTATCCAAGCAAAAGTCCGCGATCCCAGGGCGCGCGGTCTGTAAAAAAATTAGAGCGGGTCTTATCGCCAATATCTTATCGGCGGTGGTACTGATTGATTACATCATCCCCTTATCTTACCGCGTTCCCCACAAGCGCGGTCCGGCAGGAGGTCACAGGTGCGGCGGTTGCCCCTCCATGCCATTGCCCCTCCACCTGCCCCTCAGTGAGCTCACGATTCATGAAGGGGGATATCTAAGCTGCGAATTGCCTCCTGATCAACAACTGTGAACTGATTCCCTTTTTCTCATTCATAGTCTTCTCTCTTCAACTTGAACCTTTTGATACCCCCGTGAAGAAGAGAATCAACTAAACATGTCTGTCGAAGTCCTCAAGACCATCTCTCCCACCACCAATGAGGCCATCCTCACCCGCAACGGCGTCTCCCAGGCCGACTTAGATGAGCTTCCCAACACCGCCACCAAGGCTTTCGAGTCATGGAGCAAGACCTCGCTGGCCGACCGCAAGACCATCGTCAAGAAGGCTCTGAGCCTCCTCCTCGAGCAAAAGGATGACCTCGCCCAAGAGCTTACCGTCCAGATGGGCCGCCCTTGTGCCTACACTGGCGTCGAAATCGCCACGGCGGTGAAGCGCGGCGAGTACCTCCTCAAGATTGCCGATGACGTCCTCAAGGACACCGACGGCGAGGCTGAGAAGGGATTCAAGCGCTTCATTCGCAAGGTTCCCGTTGGCCCGGTCCTCGTCCTCTTTGCCTGGAATGTGGGTTCTCTTTGTCTCCTACTTTTCGTGGCTTCTCCCGTTACGTGGTGTCTGCAGCACGTTCAATGTTTCCATTGCTGTGAGACAAACGCGCAAACTGCTGAGCCACCACCACCGCGATACCGCTGTCTCTCTTACTGACATCACACTCCCAGTACCCTTACCTCATTCTGGTCAACTCGCTCATTCCCGCGCTATTGTCTGGCAACACCGTCATCTTGAAGCCCTCACCGCAGACTCCGACAATTGTGGAGCGCGTGGCCAAGGTGTTTGAGGAGGCCGGTCTCCC